ATAGCTGCTTTGGGACAGATTTAGATATTATTCGAATCGTTTCAAATAAATATTTATATAACAAGCAGTGGGCGATTCCCTGATTCCTGTACGTGACCAAGCTTAAGTAAAAGCAAACTCAGAATAAACTAGAATATTATTTCAACCTCCTGTTTTATGATTTTATTTTTCGAGTAGTTAAAAGCTGCTTTATTTGCAATAGTTCCCTGACAAAGAGGAATTTATTATGCTTGTTAGTGGAAAATGTTTAATATTCACAAGACCGAAATAACGTTTTCCTCGAAGGATATTAACTTTTCTTCTGAATTTTTGATTGAAAATTATTAAATTTAATCTGAAGTTTCCACTACGTATATGGTTTTATATTATACAGCAAGGAGATAATTAATAAGTATTATTTTAAATTAATAAATCAGTGGCATCAGCTTTACTAATGAAAAATGAAACAAGGGGGTTGTGATCTGTTATGACTCTAAAATTTTGTGGAAAAATTACTTTTTCATAAAATCTTGTAAAAAAATTAAAGTAGAAGGAAGAAAAATAAGAAAAATTGATCTTTCATCAAATTAATCATTATTAAATTAATTTGCTATCAAAAGCAATGATAAGGACGATATAAGCGAAATAGAAAATAAACGGCATATTTGCTTCCAATTTGGTGCTATCTTGGTGATGAAGATTGGTTTTGGTGCATCTCTTGCATGGGCTCATTTTGAATGGTTCAAATGGGACTGACCTGAAGGATATCCGAAAAGTATTACGGTCCTCAGATTATCATTGCTTACAAAGTGACCGTTATTGCCTGCAGGTATAGGTAATGATGGTCAAAAATATCTTTTCCACTTTTACAAATTTTGTTATTTAACCCTTTGCCCTATGATTTCTTCCACAGCTGAGCTTGATAAAAGAACTTTAATGTTCATAATGTATTAGAAAAAACAGAATTTGGTATTTATTCTATTCGCCATAATTACTCCAGACATTAACAATTGATAATAGAAAGAAATATTTAATATATACTTAGAAGAAATAAATACTGTTTAGGTTTATCAAATTTATTTTAAAATTTTCAGGACGAATGTCACAGGATATTATAGGGCAAGGGGTTAAATGAATGTGAAACCATGTTTTTGTATAGTACCAATAGATAAGTAATTTAAGTTCATGAAACACTCATTTAAATAAATATTTTATCACGTATTTTCATTTCATTACAGTTTGTTGCTTAAGTGATTGCCATTATCCCAGTCTCCCCTGATTCGTTCGCGTAAAATGCCGCAGTAATTTTAATGTTACCATTGATATTAATACGAGTTTGAAGGAGAAGATCAAACAAATTCCATTCCAAAAATTCCTTCATTCAGGTACGTTAATTTCTATTGCAAAGGAATAAGCTAATACTTGTTAGAATGCTTGTACACAATGAAATGGGAACTTGTTTGATTAAATAAAATGGTTGAAAAACTTCCGATTTCATTATGCACCAACCTTCACAATTCTTTCTCTTTGATGTCATAAAAAGTGGAACGGCACATTTATACTGACCCAGAAAACACAGACAAGGGGATCGACGATCGAATTAGGGAAAGGGAAAGGTTAATAAATATTAACTGCGAACGTGCAAAGTGAGTAAAACAATTTAAAATCGTCGAGAGATGAGAACGAAATGTAAACGAAAATCAGTTGCACGCGCCGAAACGAACGAAAGAGAAAGGGTGTGAAATATCGATTGGGAGGCAGTAATAAAAAAGGATAGAGAGAAAAAGAATTGAAAAACATGGAAATATGGAGAAATGAGGTATTAGGTAATTCCGTAAGTAATGTCGTTTTTTAAAATACTAACATCTAATATAAAAAAATTGATACTCATGTTTTTTTAATCATCGACGTATTAACGATCGTTGTACATGACCTTTCCTATTTTTATATTAACGTTAGACGTATCGACACTTTATATATACATATCTATTCGTATCCAGTCAAATTGATCGATCCAGATCAAATTGTTATAAAATAAATTAAATGACAAATTTATCTTATCGACAATAAGAAAAGAAGAAAAGATAAAAATTGAAAAACTAATTATTCGGGCAATATCAGAATCGATATAAAATTAAATTAACAAAAGAAAACTGTTGCGGTTGCTGTGTGTTCAGTGCTAATAATTTAACGTCATTTCCAAAAATTCTTTGAAAATATTGGATTGCATAGAAAATGAAATAATTTCAAACCTTTGCGGACGAGAATTTTTCAAACCACTTGAGTGCTTTTTCCATAAAAATTGAATTATTGATCGAAATCTTAACTAACAAAAGAAACGAAAATCACGTATCGATCTCTCATTATTTAAATAATGAAATTATTCATTCACAGCTCTCGATTTCAGATACGAAAGCTCGAAGTCGTCATTACGGCGACATTCGACCGCAAAGGGTTAAAACACCAAAGGCGTGATGAAAATATTATATAAACTGAAATGAGCAAGAACTGTGGGAAAACTGGAAACTCATCAGAGATGAAGAATGGGCTGAAACGCAGATTAAAGGAAGCTGATAATAAAGGCAAAGGGATGAAAGCAGCAAAAGAGAATATTACACGAAAAAGAAATATTTGTAATGGGAAAGGATGAAGTAGAAAAAGTTTGAAATTACTTAATACAACTCACAGTAAAGTAAGTATTTAAAGGAGTGAAAAAATAACTGAGTTAACGGTAACTGGAAAATTAATGGCGGATATTTTCTCAGAGACGAAGCCAGGGTAAAATTTCAAATAAAGGGGGTAATAAAAGAAACTTGACCAGTCAGAAAAAAATGGCACGGCAATGCACCGAAATGCGAAGTTTTACAATGAAAGAAATGAAGCTTGAAAAA